GTTCTCTGTAAGCCTCGACTGAAAGGTCAACGGTCTCCAGTTGCGCTCCCTCGCCGAGCTGCATGGAACGTGTCACTTCACGGATATCAATGGGCAGATTTCTCAAGGGAACCCAAGTAGCACAGATCCCTTAAGAAGGACACATAGGCAGGAATATTGAGAGAACCCAAAAGGGGCCGGGCCGTTTTGGGATCTACCAGAAAACAATGCTAAACCCTAAATCTTGGACCCTCAATCCGAAATCCTAAACCCTAAACCCTAAATCCTACATCCTAAACCCTTCCAAGCCTAGACCATCCGAGACCCTACTTCGAGGGTCAAGCGGACTTAGCAAGTATTATAGCTAGAACAACGGAAAAGACATTAGAAAAACTACCATATTATTTGTAGGTTTAGGGTTTAGGGTCGGGGGGTTTGTCCGCCGACCTTAGGGGGGAACATGTTGGATGGTTTCAGTACAGGGAGGGCCGAGCCCCCGGTGCCTGGCCTGGGCCCCAAGCCCTGGGGCACGGCCCCAACCCTAATGGGTGTTTGTTGGGGCTCATCGCCACCCATCAGCCAAAATTGGGATAAAGCTGTCAAGGTTTGCTGGATGTCTTAGGGCAACTGGCGCCTGTCGCCAATCGGGGTAAAGTTGCTCGGGCTTGCGTCACTATCTGTGGACTTTGGGGGGTCCTTCACAGTCCTGGCATCCTGGCTTGTTGCGCCGATTGCAGCAAAGCTAGCTTGAACTAATCTCGTCCGTCGCGAGTTCCTTGCATGTTTCGCGCTTGGGGGCCCTGACCCCTGGAGACCGGCCCAAACCTCCAGGGCCCCGGGTATGCCCGAGCACCTCAACATACCTAAGGTTTGGGAGGGGTGTTGGAACCTCATATGTGTGGTGTCAAGAAGGAAATTGAAAGCCCCAACAAGCCTATGATGCTCATGATGCTGGCTCTTGGGGGGCTGCTGGGCGCTGAAAATGCGCGATAAATCCCAACACACCGCTCAAAATACACGCTGTGGGCAGTGTTTGTGGTTGTAAATACCAGTGTTGGTGGGACCTGCACTGTATGACAAGCATGAGACAAGTTTGGCATGGATTGTCCAGGCCAAACCCAAAAAGCCGTGCATGTTGCATGGTTTTGGGGCGTGTGTTTGCCCACATGTCCAACGCTTTTGTGGCTCTTAAGCTGGGACTTTGCACCAGTTTTAGCTTATCCAATACGTGAAATGTGGCTGCTGATTTGCAAAAAAACTGCACTTCTGGGCTAAAACATGGGCAGCTCGCACAGAGAACCATGTTTCAATCCATTTTTGATGGCTTTTCTTGGGCCCTCATGATCCCAATGAAGCCAAAATGGGGTCCCCATTGTGCTGATGATGTTCCTGTACCGGCGCGCGCACATGCCTCGTACAGGAACATCATCAGCACAATGGGGACCGCATTTGGGGGTCGTCTTCAATTCAACGCCTTAAAAAATCCCAGGTAGCAGGAACGTCATTTTTTCGTACATTTCTCTCGATCAGGAGCATCAGCAGGGCTGGGGTGGGCTTGGCTTTCGCATGATGGCTGGGTGGGCAGGCGGCCAGGCCGGCACTTGCCGCCAGGCCCTAAATAATAATGGAAAAGAAATTGGAAACTACTACATTATTCAGCTTTAGGGCTTAGGGGGGCTTAGTAAGTATACTTACTAACCCCTCTGACCTAGATAGTATCCCCAGTTATCCCCATTGCTAACCTACTTAGTAGATCCCCCTGACCTTCCAAGTAAACCTCTAAACCTCTAAACTCCAATGAAGTCCAACCCTCAACCCTGAACCGCGACATGGCACGGGTCGATCTTTCTTGTCAGCAGCGCCGCATCCAATCGGGGCTCGCCGAGCAGCAGCCGACTTTTTTCAAGTTGCAAAAGACTTCCACATGAACCATCCCATGTTGAGTACTAATTCCAATACGAAAAATCAACGAATACGTACGTATACTGGTACTGATACTAATACTACACGGAATACGAATATGGATACTTACAACAAAGCGAAGGTTCATGCCAATCTCAAGATCTTGTGAGTCTGGTCCATGTTCATGCGGGGGTTTCCATAAACAGGGGGTTTAGGGCAGGGCGCCCAAGTATCGCAATATGGCATCCTCCTTGTTATGGGAAACCCTTAAAAAGGGAACCCCAGTTCCTGGAAATCCTAAACCCTAATCCCTGAACCCTTTTATCCCTATATAACCCCCAACTCTAAACCCTAAACTCCAAACTATCCCCTATAACCCCTAAACCCTAAACCCTAAACCCTGAACCCTAAACCCTGAAGCCTAAACCCTAAACCCTATAACCTCCGTTGAAAGGTACCCCTCATGTTGGGACTTTGGTCCATGCTCATGGTGCAATGGAAAACTGGTGCCCAGGCCCGGTCATGGTAAGTTCAACAACCCATTGTGTTTGGGGGTTTAGGGTTTAGGGTTTAGGGTTTAGGGTTTGGGGCTTGGGGCTTGGGGTGTAGGGTTCAGGGTTTAGGGAGTTTCTCAACCCTAAACCCTAAACCCTGAGCTCTAAACTGTGTGGTGGTGAGTTTGGGAGTTTCTCAAAGGGATCCCGAGGCTTTGTTGGGATTCTGAATAAACCATGGTCTAAACTCCTAGTACCCCCCCTTAATAACTCCTAGATTGTTGGGCTTAGGATTTAGGGTTTGGGCTTTAGAGTTAGGGTTTAGGGTTTAGGGTCTAAACTCCTAGTATGCCCCTTAATAACCCCAATAATACTCTCCCATATATTCCCTACATAGACCCCCTGTAAGGAGTTTAGACTATAGCTCAAACGGATCAGGGAGGTTTTGAAAGGGATAGTAGAAGAAGCATTTTGAGAGATACCCGTTTGCTCCAGCATCGCCGACTATAGTCCTCCATACCGCGCCATGGGTTCGCGCCGGTTCTTTGGGCGGATAAAGCAATCTGAATTGTTGCGTGCTTGTTCTACACACTCTCCGAGATTGCAGGAATCGGCCTGCTTGGACTCGCATGTAGCGTTCAGGCAGCCAGTATGACAATCACAGATGGTAGCTTCCACAATTAGACGCCCCAAGGTCCGGAAGTGTGCTCGAAAGGTTTCAGGGACACACTCAGTTTGCTACCTGACACCACGGCCTTTCATGTCGTGACTTGGTTTCACGGTCACTTTGCTCGTAGACGGAAAAGCAGTGAATTCATGAATGCCTGCAGCTGTCAGGCTATTTGCCTGGCCTGCTGCTGCAAAGGCCCCCTCTCTCAAAAGATCATACGGTTTAGGACTTAGGGTTCAGTTTAGGGTTTATGGCAGGTTAATCTCTAGAATAGACCAGATGAAGGTGTACAAAAAGGCCAGTCGAGAATGGCATACCTGCTTTGCAGTCCACCGTTCGCACTGTACCGCAACACCTTGCCTCCAGTAATCTGCAGAGCAGGGATTTAACATTGCTAAGGCTCCTGCACCACAAAGCTAGCCACAAGATCAATGGAAAATCAATGTACAGACACCATCTCGCAGCAAACATTTTCGCCATTGAAGACGCACCTCTGCAGTCGGCATCATGGGTCTTGCGCTTGCGTATCTGTGGTTTTCTTCAAGCCGAGAGAAATTTAGGGACCCCAGGGATATTCTGGGATGAAAAGGAGCCTAGTGGGGCACCCAGGGACCATGTCGAGTTATGGGATCTGATACTACCCACCGCAACTCGCCTACCCCAAGGTGTAGCCCGGGATCCCATAATGTAGCACACATGTCGGCTTGACTTGCTGCATGCTGGTTGGACATAGGCCTTTGTCAAAAAGAGTGCTTCTAAGAAGGTTCAGAGGGTCCTTAGTAAGAATTACATACCGTAGGGATTGTGTTGAGACACTGCGAAGTGACACGTTGTGCAAAGAGATGCAACAGCATGCACACAGATGTGCTTGGCAATCAATCAAACAATGCAAGGCGCTCATCACCATGTCTCAAAAAGGTATCCCCCGCATATACTGCCACGAAAAGATGCATACCCGTATTGCAAAAATCCGTTCTTGGCATCTGGCGGTATTGGCTCTTCCAACCTCAGTTGATTTCGGCAGCACTGTGGTTGGAGCAATAAACTGACGCCAAGTGCCTTTTACAGTCATCAAGCGAGTTCAACACCGAATTCCATCGTGGGGTGTCCATCGTGGGGTGTCCCTGCATTTAAGATGCCACGACATTTTGCAATGTCTGCGAGTGCCAGTGTACTGTAGAGACCCCGATGAAAGTAACAACGTTATATTGTGACTATTTTGCAAGGGTCCCTAGGGAATAATGTAATTTTGCAGGCATGTGGCACCTACCCATCGGGCGGATGTTGCAAGAGCTGTCCAGGCTACTCCATGCTAACATCTGGGAGTTTCCCAAAATTAGGGGTACCTTTTTGGAGGGTCCCAATAAGAAGGATGATAGGAATTGGGGGTCTTTGGGGCTCCCTCTCTTGCCAACCTGTTAGACGACAATTTGCTGCTGCGCGACCCGCCACCCTTGTGCGGAGAATTGAGATACACCACCCCGTCGATTTCCTGCCCAGTCGCAACAAGAACAGCAAGCCGGGCGACTGCGACCCTAAATCCTAAACCCTAAACCCTGTTGGACAAACCTTTACGCCCCTATAGGACTCCTTAGCACAGAGCAGGACATGGCCTGCACCAACCTTTGTGGGTGTTTCCCAGAATTAGGGGTAGCCTTTTGGGGGTACCGATAATAAGGATTATAGTATTCTGGGGTCTATATTGGCTCCCCTTATTTTGGGAAACTACCATATTTCCTGGTAGTTGGAAGCTTCATTGTAAAAAGAAGGCATAATGACAGCTGTTAGCAGGCCATGGTACTGCGGAACGCAAGATCGCAGGACATAGGAGTCCTGCATCGTCGTTCCCCTTAACACTCCCTGGGCCTAGTTAGGGGCCCCCCCATTCTGGGAAAGACCCATTCCACCCATTGGCAAGCCCCCCATCAGTGAACCCTTCCACCCACAAAGCCGTCCTTTCCGCACTGCTTGGAGCTGTGGCCGTACACGTGGCAAGTGCTCCTTCAGAGAGGGGGTCAAGGTCAATAAATTGGGCACATCCTTTTGGAAGACTCCCTACTACCCAGATCATGATGTTTTAAACTAAATTGCCAAAATTGTGGCCCTATACCGTTTGGAGTACCCTAAATCAGGGTTTAGGGGTTAGGGTAGGTTCGGCTATACCACAGATGCAAAGCCAGCTGGCTGAAAAAACATGTCGCGGAAAAACATGCAAAAGCCTTGTCATACCCTGTGCTGGAGGAGGGACGCAACTACCGCAAAATTGCGAGTGGGCTCAGTTTGATCTTCCGTGGTGTGCGACGACCTGACTTCGGAGCATACTTGGAAGGTCAGGGGGACTTCCCAAGCAGGTAAAGCATGGAGGTAAACGGGGTTAGTATAGTAATATGGGCTTTAGGGGCTATAAGGATCCTTACCCTGATCCTCCAAGTACTGTAGACGCATCCTTCATGCATGCTAAACCAACAGGGACGGGCCTTGCTTGTCGTACTTGATCGTCCAGCTCAACACAGCCCGCCGCCTTCAGAATTGACGTTGCTGTTAAGGAACTTAAGTGGAGTTACCATAATGAGTGTGTACATATATATATATATTAGTTAATATGGTTTCCCCAATATAGTAAGACATGAGCCGCAGTGTAAACTCCTAGCATCACCCGTAATAATCCCTAAACCCAAAATCCTAAACCCTAACATCCTAAACCCTAAACCCTAATCGTTTAAGGGATTTAGCTTACAGCTCACATCATGATCTCAGGCGCAAAACACACACACACACACACACGACAATTGCCAGGGGAGCCTTGGCCATGCTGAACTCATGCACGACCTGACCGCAAAATATAGTCTACAGTCCTTAAAGTTTGGTAGGGGATTATATAGAGTTTAGGAGGAAAAGGTGTCAAGCGCAACTGGCAGAGGTTTTATGGTTTAGGGTTACGCACTAGACAACAGAGAGCAACTCCATCGTGATGAGAGTCATGACAGCAATGACCGTGTGATTTTGTTCTTATGGTGACTATGCACCCTAAACTCTAAACCCTGAGCCCTAAACGCTGAGCCCTAAGCCCTGAGCCCTAAACCCTAAACCCCAAACCTCTTTAGCCCCTAAACCACAAAGGCTCCGCACAAAATCTCTCAGCTCCTGACGGGTAGCTCGCTTCTCGGTACAAAATGGGAGCATGTGATCACAGTGTCATGGTACCTGCCAGGCCCGCGGTTGCTTTGAGGATTTTTAGGGCTTAGGGTTTAGGGGTTTAAGGCTTAAGGGCTGAGGGCTTGAGGTTTAGGGGAGGGAAATGAATGTTGAGGTAGACATGCAATTTTAGGGGATCATCTGGGATTCTACTGCGGATCCACCACCCTACTCCCCTTAAGGTTTTCCGGCACCTTGAATAATGTTCTTGCTGGTTGCTAGTAGGGGATGGAGGACAAAATCTCTATAGCAGCCCTTCTATAGCTCCCAATGCTATATTGCATGTCTTTTCCTTCGCAATTTGCCCTACTAACAACCTACATGATGAAAGGTTTCACCACAAACGGACCCTAAACCCTAAACCCTAAACCCTAACCCCCAGGCACGGCTTCTCCAGGTAGTCCCGGTTCAGCGCTAGCATGTACCGCCAAACCTGGCTGGCACATGAGCTATAGTCTAAAGCCCTTACAAAGGGTTATATAGGGCATTATTTAGGGCTTAGGGTCACATAAGGGACTATTCAGGATTTAGGGTTAAATACGGGATCATTTAGGGTTTAAGGTTATATAGGGGATTCTTTAGGGTTTAGGGTTATATAAGGGGTTATATAGGGGAGCATGATATGGATTATTAAGGAGGATACTACGAGTTTAGAATTTTGACTATAACTCACATCAAACTGCTACAACATCAGCAGGCACGGTGGCTCATGAAAGCTTTGGTCGCCTTCAAAATCCCCAGATGCTAGGACTGCGGCTTAGGGTTAGGGTTTAGGCTTTTGGGTGCAAACAGAAACCCCAAACACACCTGAAAAATAAAGAAGCACGCAGTCTAACACTTGAACAGAAAACTCAACGGTTGCCTGATGGTTTGGATCCATAGGCCATCTCGCATACCTGCACAAAGTCAGGCAAGCTGCGTCCAGCCGAATGAAACCGAAACGAAGAATGGCTATGCCCAAACCCAAAACCCTAGACCCGAAACCCTATACCCGAAGCCCTGAAACCCAAAAACCCCGCTTTTAACCCAATGATAGTAGTTTCCATTTTATTTTCCATTCTCCCAATATAACCCCGATATACTATAGTAGTTTCCATTTTCTTTTCCATTCTCCAATATAACCCCAATAATCACTATGGTAGTTTCCATCTTATTTTCCATTATCTAT